TGGTGACCATAATGAAAATTGTTCTTTCAGTGAAAGATTGATTTTCATCCTGGCCAAATTAAATTATAAAATAGATTTAAAGTCAAAGTTTACGATAGTTATCAGTTTTCTGCAGGGGCTTGATTTGTGGACAGTGCATCAAACCCATAGAATGCACAAGCAGTGGTGAAATATATTGGTGTCTGTCTGCAACAATGTGGGAGGATCGCTCACCTGGTGTCTGAAAAGCTGTAAGTGAAGGTCAAGAGCTGTCCATGGGGAGGAAGGAAAATTAGTGCATGAGCAATTGCTTGTCGTTCTCAAAAAAAACTTCCTAACACCAGATAAGGAGCAGGCATAGACTCAGGATTTGCTCTTTGAAGGATTAATTTTACATGCTATGCACTATGTAAATTCAAGTTATTTCTGATCTCTATCTAGAAACAAAGAAACATAAACATATATAGTACAGAAATTGGCCATTCAGCCCATCTAGTCCACAACAACTCGCAGAGCAAGGAGATAATTTCAGTCCCACCACCCTGTTTTATTCCCATAACCCCTCAAGCCCCTCTCCTTCATATACCTATCCATTTTCCTCTTGCAAGCTACGTCACTCGGCAGAGTGTTCCACATCCCAAAACTCTCTGGGTGAAAAAAATTCTCTCAAGATCTTCTTTCGCTATTCTTGTGGATATTTATAACTATGTCCCCTAATTACTGATCCCCTATCAATGAAAATAAATTGTCCCTATTTACCCTAACATAGATCCTCATAATTTTGTACACTCTACCAGGTCCCCCATCAACTTTTCCAATTTGCTTGTAAAAGCTTTATGAAAAACTACCTCTTTAACTATACCTATGCCTATGGTCACTTCCATCTTCCTTCCCTGATCGATGTCCAGCTCCATCTCTGTAAAATGCTCCAAGATATTACTCTACGTGTAATGCCCTATGTAAATAGAGTACACAGTACACCTAGCCAAAATGTTACCAATTGCTGTCAGGTCAATGGAAAGTGTTAGAGTGATCAGTTAGTTGAGGAAACTAGATAAAGGAAGAACAATTCTGCATTGATGCATGTTACAAACTGGCATCTTCATTCAATAACTGTCTGATAATCGAACAACAAAATGCACTATAACACCCTTCATGTGGGAAAGCATCTCGGAGCCACTGTTAAACAAGTGAGAAGATGCCATAATACCCTATTACACTCTATAATACTATAAACCCTGGTAGCATTCTCACCTCTGAGTCAGAAGCTCACGGGTTCAAGCCTCATGTTGGGATTTTGAGCTCATAATCTAGGCCAATGCTTCAGTGTAGTACTGGGGGAGCGCTGCATTGTCAGAGGTGCCGTTCTTTCAATGAGACTTTAAAACAAGGTCCTGTTCAGGTAGTTGTTAAAAATCCTCTATTACTATTTGAAAGGAGAATACTATTTCTCTCAGGGTCCTGGCCATCAATCCTCCAGATAAACATGAACATACACTTGGCTGTTTGTGGGATATTGCTGTGCACAAATTGTCTGTTACATTTGCATACAAATACACAGTCACTACACTTTATGGTGAACACTGTAAAATGCCTTGAGACATTTTGATGACATGATAATATGAAACGCAAAGATTGTTATTATTACTACTACCATTGAAAATTAAGAAAAAATATCTGAGTAGATGTCTGTTAATATTGATTAATTCATTCTTGCTCTTACGCTTTGTACACTTAGGGTTAGGGTTAGGGAAATGGCAATTTGACATTGACCTTCCCCTACCTAAACCACTGCACAAGACTGTTAACTTATCTGTTTACAAGATATAAAGCACAAACTATGCAAACAGTGTGCATCACTAAATGGGACTCAATTGCTGTCTAGGTTTATTAGCAGTTTCATTATTGTGTTTCATTAAACCACCATCTTCATTATAGACAACTAAGAACCTATGTGAAGCAAGCAGTGAATTTAAATGTATCTAACCATATCCTATCATTCCTATTTCATGTAATTACTTATCCAAGCACCACAAAATCCAGTTTCAAGGTGAAAAATGTCCCCGTTATCAGGTTTTTAGGCTGTGTGAAATATAATCAATCTGCTGCCAAATTTCATCTGGACTCTAGAATGACAATGTAGAAACCCAATCACTTTGTTATAAAATTTTTGCAGATTGATTTCACCTAAATTAATTATTAGTGAAGGACAACCCCAGTCTCCTATTCTCCACCACCAACCAGCTCCTCCGTCCAACCTCCCACGTCTCACCTACTCTCTCCTCTAGCTCTGACTGTGAGGATATGTTGGATTTCCTTGAGTCCCAAATCATGGAGATCCAATCTGCTGCCTCCACCCTCCCAACCACCACTCCTTCCCCATCTCCCCACCACACACCGACCCCTACCCATCCCTCCCTCCACATTTTCAAACCTGTCTCCCCCTCTTCTCTCATCACCACCATATCCAGTATGAAACACACTACCTTCTCGCTTGACCCCATCCCCACCCTTCCCCTTACGTCCCAGCTCTACATCTTTGACCCTCTACTCTCCAACACCGTCAATCTCTCCCTATCATCTGGCACCGTTCTCATCCCCCTAAAAACAGCTACAATCTCTCCCATCCTGAAAAAACCTTCAATGGACCCATCTCTGCTTTCTAACTACCGGCCCATCTCCAACCTCCCTTTCCTTTTCAAGGTCCTTGAAATAGTCATTGCTTCCCAGCTTGGCTCATTCCTCTCCTTTCACTCTCTTCACGAGCCCCTCCAATCAGGTTTTCGTGCTGGTCACAGCACAGAAGCTGCTCTGGTCAAGGTGACAAACAACATCCTGTTCATCTGTGACCAGGGTTCCCTCTGCCTCCCCATCCTCCTCAACCTCTCTGCTACCTTTGATACCATAGACCACTCCATCCTTCTCCACTGCCTCTCCTCTCACCTCAATATTCTATGCTTGAATGGTTCAGGTCTTATCTCTCACACAGTCTCCAATTTGTCTCTGTCAACGGTTTCTCTTCCAGCTCCTGCATAGTCTCGTGCGGTGTTCCTTAGGGCGCTGTCCTCGGACCCTCCTCTTCAACCTCTACATGCTCCCACTTGGTGACATCATCCGCAGACATGGGGTCAACTTCCACATGTATGCGGATGACACCAACTCTATCTCTCTGCCTCCACCCTCGATTCCAGGACAACTGACATCCTGACAGACTGTCAGTCAAACATCAAGTCCTGGATTAGAGACAACTTTCTACAGCTGAATGTCAGCAAGGCCGAAGCCCTCCTAGTAGGCTTGCACCAGCGCCTCTGCACCTCAGGCACTGGCAGCATCAGCATCTAGGGATGCACACTCCACCTCACCAAGCCAGTCTGTAACCTTGGCATCTTGTTTGACCCTCAACTGTCCTTTCTCTTCCATATCCATGCCATGACCCGATCTGCCTTCCCCCACCTTCAGAACATTGCCCGACTCCACCACTGCCTCACCCCTCAGGCCGCCAAAACCGTCATACACTCATTCATCACCGCAAAGCTCAATTACAGAAACTCCCTCCTTGTCGGCCTCTCCAACTCTTCCCTTCGCAAGCTGTAGATTATCCAGAACTCTGCAGCTCATGTTGTCCTCTCCTGCACCAGGTCCATGACCCTATGACCCCCACCCTCGCCCGGCTCCACTGGCTCCCCATCCCTCAGAGGATAAAATTCAAAATCCTCGTCCTCATTTTCAAGGCCCTCCACGGCCTTGCCCCCTCCTACATCTCTGACCTGCTGACCCCCTATCAACCTGTCTGCTTCCTCCACTCAGCAGGCTCCATCCTGCTCCATGTCTCCCGCCTGACCTGCTCTACCATCAGCGTCCAGGCTTTCAGCATCTCTGCCCCCACCCTTTGAACTCCATCCTACAATCCCTTCGCCTTGCTCTTTCCCTTGCTTCCCTCAAGGCACGACTCAAGACCCTCTTTTTCGCCTATGCCTTGAGTCTCTATACCTCTCTATACTCCCTCACCCCAACCCTCCTCCCCCCCACCCCACCCCCGACCACACTCCTGATCCCCAGCTGTTCAGTGTCTTGGGACGTCCTCCAGACGTGAAAGGTGCTTTACAAATGTAATTTTGTTGTTGTTATTAAATAACCCAATATTTAAAAAGTCCTCTCTAGATTCCAAATGCAACTTCCCACGCAGTGTTTCTCACTGTGCTTCAAATTACACTCATCATATCCAACTCATTTACTACCAGAATCTCAACCAGAAGCTAGCTCTCTTTGGCATCTCATCCTGCAACGTGCAGCCTTTTTAAACCAAGTCTTGACATCACCTGAATACTGTTTTGTGCCATTATTCTTCCCTATTCCTTTCCTGAGAGTACTTACTTATGTTGGGATACAATTCCAGTTAGCCCCATAATATCTCTATAAAGTGTGTGAGACTAGGCAGAAAGTGCTGGTCAATGATAACTATGACATTCATTTCAACTAAGCCCGAGCCTGCTTTCATTCAAAATCAACCGATGCATCTTGCAGTGGGGCTCATTTGATATTGTTGCTGAGCATTAACTCTGGTCATTTTGTTTTCCTCTTTCTTTTGCCCATGGGGGAGAGGAGCCTAGTCAGTGTAGACCAGGAATCATATTTGAAACCTTCTAGTTTGTGCATCTTAGTACTAAAGGGGGAAGGAAAGAGTTTACTTGATTTGTCTCTTCCTCTCAGCACTTTTGAACCATAGCAGTATTATGCACTGTAGCTCTCTGGCTCCTTATCTAAGTTTCTCATTAAAAAAAAATCAGCAGATAGTAGAGATACATTTAGAGCCTAATTGCAATTATCAGTATTGTCAGTTCAGAATTTCCAGAGCAGGTTGTCTGAAAGCAAGCAATGTAAGTGGTTTGGCTGCAGGAAGCCAGGTGTAAATGGACCTGTCGTGAGTTAGCATTCCTCGGAAGCAGTGGACTAATGTGTTTTAAAGGATGATATGTGGTGGCAAGCTGACAGTGACCTGTTCTTTGTTTGCTGGCCTCCAGGTTCACCATACAGGGAAAAGATCACCATCGCCATTCTGCAACTGCAGGAGGAGGGCAAACTGCACATGATGAAGGAGAAATGGTGGCGGGGCAACGGTTGTCCAGAGGAAGAGAGCAAAGAGGCCAGTGCCCTTGGAGTCCAGAACATTGGTGGCATCTTTATTGTACTGGCTGCTGGCTTGGTACTCTCCATCTTTGTGGCAGTGGGCGAGTTTCTGTACAAGTCGAAAAAAAATGCACAGCTTGAGAAGGTAAAAGACTTTTCCAGTACTTCCGTAAGTTACTGGAGATTGTATAGTGCAGTCCCATTGATCTTTCATTAGGGGACACATCTCCTTAAGACAGATATTAAACGCCTGTCAGAATTATAGACATATTGTTCAGATTCTAAGTGTATGTTTTGTAACGATAGAACCAAAAAAATCCAAACAAACAAATGATAGCTTCAAAATTTTAACCATGTAAGATCTGTACTGTTTTGGTTATATCAGTCACTGGCTTTGTTAAAGCCTTTTCTCAAAAAAAATAAAATTCTCATTTTATTTTATTGAAAATGTGTGACAATGCTTTTCAATGTCTATATTATTGTAGCAATATATGGCAGGAATATTTATTGTATTAGGCTAATGCAGGGTATAAATTGATTCCAAGCACAACAAAAAATGATTTGAAAGTCGGTAAAGCATTGATCGCTGTTTGTGTTTTGAATTACTAAGTACAAAATGGAATCCATTTGTTTTCCTTGTTTATCCATTGTATTTGGTGTTCAGCTCAATAAATTAAATTGTTTTGAATAATCATTGGCAGTTCAATGTATTTCAGTGCAGTAAGAAACCGTAAGAGATGAGCAAAATACTGCTGTGTTGTATTTAACACTGGCAGATAACATAGTGGTTGGGAAAGAGCATTAGAACAGTCACCTTTGAATCCATATGTCAATTCACAACCGTGTTACGACTGATTCAGTGTTTGTCAGTTAACAGGCTTAAGCAGCTGAATCATGTTTATCATTTATACATTCTTGATTCATGCAATAATCTATTGTGCTTTTAATTAATCACATTGCTTTGTCTCTATTGTACATGTTTAATTTCCCTCTTTAATGAAACATTGCTCATTTCCGTAGATGTGCAATGACTGTTCAGTCAGTACTGGACAACAAATTGATGGCTTATTGCTTTGTAAATTGTCATGCTGAAGCAAACAGATTAACATTAGGACAGAGCTACCCTCGATTTTGCTGCCTGTATGGAAATTGAACAAGTCAAATTGTCTGCCACAGTAAACATTTTACAATATAGCCAAAATTACAATATTTCGTCCCTCAACAAAGTTTTATTTGAACTAATATAAAAAAGATTTATTTACCACCAAGTATGCCATTTGCCTCTCATCTGGTCTTGAGCAGATTTCTGTGGCTGTGAAAGATGGATTACAGTGGTGGAGATACAGTGAATGTGTTAAATGCAAATTACTATAGGCATTCCTTTGAGTTAAATGTGAGCCTCGATAGTCATTGCATCTCTACTTTTCCAGTCGTTTTCGCACATTTTTCTGTTTAATTTTGTCATGCAAAATTGCATCTTGTCACATGTCCACATTTCTGTAGGATTTATTTTCCCCTGGGGGTTAAGTCGTCGGATTGGTGGTTCTTCACGATTCATCACTCGAACTCCCCGATGCAGTGGCGCAAGGAGTCACAAACTGATTAGAAAGAAGGCTTGGGGCTGGGCCTGGCAGACATTCTGTGCAAACATTAAAAGATGAAAAGAGGTTTGATTGATTCATCATAGTTGATGTTGGAACACTGACCCATGACATCCACTACAGGTTGTCGGATGACTGTGATGGAAGGCTAGGAATAACGCAGATGAGAAAAAGATACCTAATGAACTTTAGAATGTGCTATTTAGTGCCGATTTGAATTGACTCTTTATTTCCTGATTGCATAAGTGTCTTTTATTCATTATGTAGTCAAAAATGCAATGTTTGTAACGGGGAATCACAAATAACAATTTCGAGTCGCAAATAGTCACTTCTGTTGGTAACTGGAAGGCAGCTCTGAAGCAATCTATTTGCGGAACAGAGTTCCCACAGGTTTTCAGGATGAGGTCACCATTTGCGACTTCCTCTTTTGTAGAATTTAGTGTTACCTCACGCCTTCCCCCATGACTTGTTTTATTATCTATTTTAGTAAAGGGCTGAAAACTAGCTGATCATCATATTATAAATCATGCTTTCTGTTCAGGATTGCCATCTTCATTTAACTTTGCTCTTTTATAGTCAGTATCACATCCCACCTCAGAAACTCCAGGCATATTGTTAGTAATACTAAATGGTTATCTTGTTCTTATTGGTAGGGCAAAGGCAATTTGACTTTTTAACACAGTAGTTACAGAGTCACAGGGTTAGGAATGTGATCTGTTAATACTTTGCACATTCTATAGAGATATATGAATCGTTTTAGACTGAGAGAAAATTTAGAAAATGCAGAATTTCCATTGTTCCTTACAAATCTAGCAGATCACATTATCATCAAGAAAATGGTCATGTCATTTTTATTTAAAGAGCAATAGCTAACTAAATGCTTTTTTCAATCATTGCCAAGCTTGGTGTTAGGGCAGAGAAATCTAAGCTAGCATGTGATTTCACTGTCGCTTCAAGGCATTGCAGTTTGATCTCATTTTCAGTCTTTAATTTTCCCCACAGAGGTCCTTCTGTAGTGCCATGGTTGAGGAGCTCAGGTTGTCTCTCAAGTGTCAACGGCGTCTGAAACACAGGCCTCAGGCACCAGTCATAGTGAAAACAGAAGAAGTCATCAACATGCATACATTCAACGACAGGAGATTGCCTGGCAAGGAAACAATGGCATAGAGTGTAGGAAATCCACACCGAGCACAAACAGTATTCTTTGTTCCCAATGACCTGCAAGAGTGTTTCCTGTGGAAATATGCAAACTGTGCCGAACAAGCGAGTTACCTCATATTGCCATGTCGAAAAAAGCTACCATATGAAAACAGGGTGGTCAAAATCAGATTCTGAAACATTGTCAAGAACCAAAACTTGCAAATAAAATCATTTTTAAACAATGAGTAGAGTTACCCACCCTCCCCTCCCTCCCATCCCTCTCTCTCTTCTCGTATAGGAAATGGATGGGGATCACAAAGGGGGAAAAAAGAGAAAACTGCTTAATAGGAAGTTGAGTATTTAGGCTACATAAGATAAGGTGGAAATTGTGCTAAAATGTCCAAAGTTGTGCAGTTGCTGTAAAAGAACTGTTCAAATTTATTGAGGTTAAAGGTGAAAGAAAACTGAGAGACATGGCGAGAAGCACCGAAGCCTTTGTGCGATCTTTCAGGTGTTCGAATTGTCACCGGAGAGGAACACAGGTCTCCCGTAAGGCAATAATTGCTTCTGGTCAAATTAATTTTTTTCGTGGATCAGACTGTTGTTGAACCCTAACGAAATGAAAGACCATTAGACCATTTAACCACCTTAAATGATGGAATACAAAGTAGTTCTCTGAAATTTGAATGATGAAGTAGGGTTTAAACGTACCTTTTTTGAGAAAAAAAACATATTTTTGGTTTGCACACCTCTTACTGGTAACAAATGAGTGTATTTTCCTGGGGCTCAAGAATTAGTCCCTACAAGATGCATCCACCCGCCTGCTCCCACATCCAGCTGAAGTGATTTGACACCTGACTTTTCAATTCGTGTGGTTCTGCCTGATAATGGAAATGAGATTGTTCGTTGACAGGACCCCATGGTAATGTTGCAGGAGACTCTTTTGTAGAATGCACTAAATCTCAGTCACTACTGCTACAACTTCTCGCGAGCAGTTTTTCAAGATGTTCATGTTTATTTGTGGAAATGCAAGATTTATATGAAAATAGTTTTTGTATGGAATTTTTGTAATAATTTTTATCAAAAAATGAACACAGGGCACTAAATCTCAATGGGGTTCCATTAGGCTAATAGCATACAGTTATGAACTATTGTGTGTAACAAGAGACCTAGAGTCTTGGCCATATTGTGAAAATAAATGAAATGCACACAGTTTATTGTCTGAAATTAATGCACAATTAAAAAAAAGAATAAAACATTGAGAAAAAGGCTAATAATTTTACACCACATTTAGGTTCCAGTGTTTATGCACAGATTGGTAAGGCAGTCCAAGGGTTGTGTGTCTCGTTCTTGTACAGTATTTTCCAATTGCCCAACAAAACATCAAGAAAGAATTATAAAGCAGAATGGAAAGTACAAAATAAAGTGTTGCTCTCTGTGCTGACATTCACAAGTACCTATTGTAGTGATGTAAACTCTATTGCCTTTGCTGTCAATTTAACATGCAATATATCCATAAATGTTCACTGACAATCATCAAGAGGCCTGTGCAAGGTAAATGCAGCATCTGTGTTGATGGCTTCTGATACTTATATAATATATACATTGTACTGAATAACCCTGATTTTTTTATGAAAAGGAAGTCTATGGGCCAAATAAAATTATTTCTTTAATAGGTCCAGCTGAAATTGGGGAAACATGTCTGCCATTTTTTAAAAATATATTTCATCTCCCCACATAACTTGTGTGCTTCGCCATTACAAGCTCTTTTAGTTGCCCTCAAAAAAAGTTCACAGGATATTTTGTAATTCCGAATCTACTTTGAAATAGACTTATAGACTTGGGTTGGGTAGAAGTGTGTACGTGAGCATTATCCCATCACCATTGATACTTGGGTTACATGGGAACATAGGAAAGTACAAGGTGGGAAATGGCCAAAGTTCATCTGCACACTCCCAAAGATATCAAACAATGCTCCATCTGTAAACTCCCTCCGCCCCCCTCCCGACCCTCCCTATCATGTATTTCTGCACAGTCTCACGATTCCACGGATTCACTATTCTCTGTGTAAAATAGTTCATTCTAAAATGTTGCTTTACTTTCCTTCTTTTGAACTCAAGTCCCTGGTGTAAAGTTTGAAGTAATGTCCAAAAATATTTTTGGGTTCATTTTATCAAATCCAATTTGGAAGAGACAGAATTCACCCTTGTGTGTGTGTGTGCGTGTGTTTTTCTCTCTCTTTCTCTCTTGTTGGCTGTGAGCATCCTAATTGAAATGAGCTGAGTCAATCCTAACTCAGTTACTGGTGACTGTAGGTCTGCAGCACAAAGTGCCCAAAATTTATCACTAATTGACAGTGTCACTCAGACAAGTCTTCAGGATGTCTGATGTGAGAAAAGGAAATGTCAGACAGGTGCAGTGGATGATGCAATACAAAGTTAGAGTTAAGGCACATTGTTATTGCTTTGAAGTAAAGGGAGTTTTAATATGCTTCTGACCTATGCTATACTTGACCCCTGAATATTGGATGATGTCAATGGGCTCTGAAAATAAAAAACAGTTTGTTTCTCCACCAGTGACATCCCTCATCTTGATGAGCACAAAATTCACCCTAAAAGAAGTATAAATTGAAAAAGAATCTCCGTGCCATTCTGACAGGCACTGTGCCCGTACATCTGGGCAAACTATCTATGTGTTGGTTTGGCTACAGCTGTATGTTTGTTATCAATAGGTTTTCATGAATCAGAAATAAAACACAGTCCTCCTTCAACTGTTTATGGTCTTTCCTCATCATTTCCTGTGACAGCAAATCCAGTTAAAGAATTATTTTTAAAAAATAGTGCCCTTATATATTGCACCTCCCAGACGACAAATGACCTAAAAAAACTTGGCTGTTTTCATCCAATTCATCTATTATAATTGGTAAAAAAACAGAGGGGAGATGAGGAGAAGTTTTTTTTACCCAAAACACTATTATGATCTGGAATGTACTGCCTGAAAGGGTGGTGGAAGCAGATTGGATAGAAGCTATCCAAAGGGAATTGGATAGGTACTTTAAAAGGAAACAATTGCAGGGCTATGGGGTAAGAGCAGGGAATTGGGACTAGTTGGATTACTTTTTCAAAGAGCCAGCAGAGGCAAGATGGGCCAAATGGCATCCTTCTGTGCTGTATGATTCTATGTAGCAATCCCTTCTACCATTGTTTCTTAATACCTGTATAACACCTGCTCTTCAGGACACACTGACTATTTAAAAACACACACAGGTAAGTACAATAAAGTGACTTTATAACCAAAACCATGTGTGGGTTTGGGCACTATTTATTACAGATGCCACTTCAAGGCTCGTAATATATTTCTGGTCCTCCAATGGTCTGTACATGATTGGTGGTTGTGTTGATAAATATAAAATTAACATTGTAATGGTTCCATTTCTTGGCTTTTTTTTTACCTCACTGCAATAAAATGCAAAGCAAAACATTGCAATACACCAGCAAAATCTGTATAAAGTTTGCTTCCTCTCTAGAACACTCCACTGAAATCTCTCCACATCTTTCCTGCCCCCTCTCAAAACTCATCTAAAACCTAGATCTTTGACTGCTCCTTCAACCACCTCCCCCCTACCCTACTCCCACCTCCCTCCCAGCTCAGACTCTATCTTTGTGCAGTGCTTTAAGACTTTTACCTCTGTGGAAAGTGCTATACAAGTGCAAATTGTCGTTAGCACTCTGACAAGCCTGCTTTTTAAGTTGTGCTAAATATATCAGATATACCATGCGAATATTGTTTATTGGTTACTGCAGCTATAACACAAAAGAAGACATTAGATATGAATGAAAACACATTCAGTTTCTTAAATGCTGCATAACAACATCATCTGCAAACTGGAATGACTATTATTTCAAATATCTCAATGTGTTGGATGAATGCAACTTTTATGAATTCAACAAAACTCTGAAGTAACTGATCATTAATTGAATAATAAAGACTAATCTATGAAGGTTAAATCTCGGGAATCTTTTTTTGGAGTCTCATAGCATAGTGGGTAATGCATTCGCCATGCAAGCAAGAGGATCCAGGTTCAATTCCCCGGCAGGGCAAAAATGTAGGCAAGTTTCCTTACTCCACACTCCCCTGCTTATCTCGCAGTTAGTAAAAACCCGGTTGTTAGTCAATTGCTGGATTGTTTTCCAGTGGTAATAACCCTAAAAAAAATTGGTCACTCAATTCATGACTCATTGTGGCACACTGCTGTATGCAATTGGCTGCCTCTTTTCGCCCACAAAATACACAGTCAATTCACTTCATTATATATTTTGTGAAGTGCTTTGAGACTTCTCAATGATGTGATAAGTTGCCATATCAAATGCAAGGATTATTATTATTGTTATCCTTTTGGTGAGCATCACAAATGTGATTAAATGGTATTAGAACAACCTCTCTATACAATACCAAACTACTGTTCAGGCTTGAGTGAATTTAAAACCTTTGACTTCCCCAGTAAAATGATTTATCTGCTATCCTGTCTGTTAATAAGAAGATTTCATGTGTAATTGCAACAACTTGCATTTATATAGCACACTTCAGGCAGGGTAGCATCTCGGAGCACTTAACAATGGTGGATGCCGAGCCGGAGAGAAAGGGGAAGTGAACATAGATACAAAGATACGGACGAAGAGGAAAGTCTTCAGGTGGATATGAAGACTGGCAAAGAGGGGACAAGGTGGAGGGATTTCAGCAGGGAGTTCCAGAAATTTGGGCATAGTGGCTGAAAGCACAGCTGCTGATGGTGGAGTGGAGAGGTCGAGCCAGTCGAGCAAAGGGGGAAGGTAGAGGAATGAGGTGTGAGCAGGTTGGGGAGATAGGGAGGTGCTAGAGTATGAAGTGATTTGCAGGTGAGTGTTGGGATCCTGAAATTGATCTGTTCAGTGATAGGGAGCCAATGGAGCCCAGCAAGAACTGTATGATGGGGGTACGGAGTTTAGTGCTGGTGAGGATGAGGGCGGCAGAGTTTTCCCTTTGCTTTAAGACCCACTGGAATGTCTGATGTACCATACTATTTTGTGACTAACAGAGAAAATATACAAGCACATTCTCTATAACAACGTCCAGACTAGGGACTCATATAGTTTAGGCGGACAATGCAATATATTGTGGTGGCAGTGCTGCATTTTTAGAAGTGCTGTCCCTAAACAAAATTGGTTGTTCACTCCATGGGTATTTGTGGGTTATTACTCTGCACACATTGGCTACATTTGCACACAAAATACACAGTCAGTACATTTTATATCCTGTGAAGCACTTTGAAATGTTAACTCAACATGAGAGGTGCTATTATATCAAATGTAGGATTATTATTATATTCTCATTTGACATACTGTAGAGGTGGCTTTTAATGATAGAATAGAACAGCAGAGATGCTCTATTGGATATTGCAATTTTAATAAGACAACATTTCCTTTATCCAGTGTTTCCCATGTTCCCATTTCTATTTGCTCTATGCCACTCATGACTCTTTGTTTTCTTGTGTTTCTTTGGATTGACACATGCCACATAATGCTGGAGACACCGAATTAGGATTGTGTAGCACTATGTTTAGATGAAATCAGAAAGTGCTGCAGGGCTGGATGTGAAGTAAATGAATGTACTATTATAAGAAAGTAGGTTGAAAGCAGAGGGGTCGTATAGCTGAAATACAGCACTTTAATCTAAGTGAGATGGGTTCCAATCTAATTCAGTCCTAAGAGATAGGATAACTGTCTTCATTCTGTGAAGGCTGTAAAAGATCTCAATTGAAATTAACTAGGGGATTTTCAATTAGTTCTCAGTGAGCATGCATCTGCTACAGAAAATTGCTAAAAGATAATGCTATTAATTGGTATTAAGTCAGCAATCTCACTCAAATAGGTCACACAGAAATATCACTTCGGTGTCAAACAGTCATTCTGAAGATGGACTCAATGTAGCATGAAAAAAAAGTTTTACATGTAACTAAAAGGGTTCATAAGTGGTTCGAGTGTATCTGAATCTTGCACTGAGTAGAATTGGAGAAACATTTAATTGCCCAGAACCATCAATTTTAACTTAGGTGAGAAAAACTATTCAAAAATAATAACGGGAGGAAAAAGCGAGTAAAAGAAATCGAATGGTGTCCTGCAGTAAATGAATTGAGAAATGAGTGTGGAGGTCACTCATGAAAATTGGCCCATGACTAACCTGCCCTCATAAACACCAACAAAAACAAGATTACATTTGTATAAGCTATTAATCACAAAGTTATGAGTGGGGATCAGTGAAATAATGTCTCACTGATGTTTCTGCCATGTACGTGTTGGAAAACAGCAACACTTCAAATTGTTTTTTTTAAGTTAAATTTTTACACAAAGCAGTTAACCTAATCGATAGATAACAATTTTGTCAGACATTAGTCATCGCCTAACAAATACACAGCCACTATACTTTACAATAAAGTCTGCAAAGTGCATTGAGATGTATTGACAATGTGATAAGGAGCTATATAAAAAGCTAAGACTGCATATTTTAGTTGGAAGGATTGTTCACAAAAGAATGACGGGAGGTCAGAAGGAATTTCTTCACCCAGAATCTTATTGGTGGCGTGGGGTGTGGAATTCATTATCACAAGTGGCCATTGAGACTGGATCTTTAAAAAACAAGGAAACAGTTTTTTAAAAAAATGAGGAAAGACCTGGAAAGTGGAATTAATAAAACAACTTTAAAAAAATTCAATCAGGAATTTTCAGAAATGATTATTATTTCTACACATCCTGACTAGGCCATTTTGGCACAAAACAATAGTTATTTTTTGTTCTGGAATCAAAAGGAGTCAGCCATGAAAGCAATATTCCTGATTCATGTAACTGACCTTTGTGAAGTGTACATGTTTGGAAACAAAAGACATGCTCACTGTGAAAGAGTCCTGCTGGAAAAACCTCTCAGTAGAAAATTTCACACATGTGAGTCTTATTTATGTAGTTTCAAATTGTTGTCAATTACAGCCTGCTTGCTTGTCTTTGTTATTCAGCATGCAGAGAATGAAAGATATGCAGTTACTGAAATGCATTTGTTTTAAAGTGCAATTTTGTGTTCTTGCCCCACTGTCCCTTTTTGGAGAGTGCTGTTGCCTTTTGTTAAGCAGGTCTTGGAATGAGTAGTCTGATGCACAGTATTCTTTGCAAAATAAATGTTATTTTCTATTCCCTCCAGCCCAAAAGCTCTGAGTCATGTTGAATAGTGTTCTGCAGTGTATGCCAGACACCCTCTGGAACTCTCCCAAGTGGCCATTCTTTATTTGTGAGCCCAAATAGTTGAAGAATTATGGTAAGCTTTTTGACTGCTGGGATATTTCGGCCGAGCCTGATCCTACACTCACTTGAGACTCACTTTCCAGCACTAACCACTGAATTGCTATCAGATGCAGGAATCCTAGCTGATTTATTTTATCTTTTCCCGAGCCCAGCGATGCTAAGGTTAATTGTAGCCTGCTCTGTGCAGCCCTGACCCAGTTCAGCTAATTCTGAGCAGACAGGTATTGAATTTAGAAGCACTCTGCTCTGTGAGACTTAGTTTCAGATTACACAGTGGCTTTACCAATGGAGTTTACAATTAAATGTCAATCTGTATTTATATTGCTGCGAATGAGTTTAGTAGGAAACATTCTTATTTTGTGAATGATGTCCAGTTTATCTATACCCTTTAGTTCTTAAATATTTAAGTAAAATCTTGTCTGAGTCTGCTCTTCATCAGTATCAAAAATCTCAGCTTTATAACAATCTTTATATTTCATAAAGTGCCTTTTACAATGGGAGGTCATCTTGAAGCTTTTCACATGATATTGTGAAGACTGGATTAACTGTGCATTTTTTTGGGTGAGGCATTAATAGCCTCTCCTCATAATTCAGCAGAGAGACTAATTCCAGCCAATTTTCAGTCCAATTGCCCT